GGATTTCCAGCACTCGAGGAGTGGGGGCCTCATGAGCCCTTCCCCGGCGCGGCCGGGTGTGCGGCGGGGGCTCCGCGTGGCATGAGCAGGGCTGGATCCAGGCGCTCCGGCGCCAGCCGGGGTTCCCACCCGCGAGGGGGAAACCGGAGGAGCCGGCTGCGCAGCCGGTGCCGCTCCCGGGGCGCTGGGCCAGGGAGGTCCCTGCGGACGGYGGGGCGCCAGCGGGAAGCTCGGCTGCCGGTGCCGGGAGCATCGGCCGTGCCGGGAGCCGCTGCGGCCAGGAGCGGGGCGGCCGGTCCCTCCRTTCGCCCGTGCTGCTGCGCCGGGGCTGCTGGCGCCTCTCTGTGCCCTGATGCGCTGGSGTTTTCATTCCTCCCGCTGCAGGCCAAGCGGAAGCTGGACCTGGAGGGCCCGGGCCAGCGGGCCGAGCGCCGCGCGCTGCACGAGCAGGGCAGGAGCCTGCGCCCAGCGCCCGGCCCCAGGAGTAAGCGGGGAAGGCGGGAGGGGAGCGGGGCAGGAGGCTGCTTGGGGAGGGGGGCGGACGCTGCTGCTCCCCACGCTGGAGCTGCCGCTCTCTGCACTGTCCCCTCACACTGCCCAAAATGACCCAAACTGTCTCCTCGTGCTGCCTCARATGACCCAAACCTCTTCAGAGCCGCGCGGCCCAAGCCCAGCCCTGGGGCACCCATCCGTGTCCCAGCCTGAAGCAGCGCCTGGGGGGGGTCTCCCATTTCCCTGCAGCCCCCAAATCCCCCGGTGAGAAGACCCGCTACGACACCTCGCTGGGGCTGCTCACCAAGAAGTTCATCGGGCTGCTGAGCGAGTCCCCTGACGGCGTCCTGGACCTGAACCGCGCGGCCGGGCTGCTCGGGGTGCAGAAGCGGCGCATCTACGACATCACCAACGTGCTGGAGGGCATCCAGCTCATCCGCAAGAAGTCCAAGAGCCACATCCAGTGGATGTAGGTGACGGATGGATGGGTGGGTGGGGGGACGGGGGGAGCTGGCCCCYGAGGGCGGGCCACAAGCTGGGAAGGGGGCAGAGAGGCGGCCTGGGGACGTGGCGATGAGCGAGCGGCGCTCGTGTGGCACAGGGGGACGGGGACCTTGGCGGAGGCGGCGGTGGCAGCCAAGCAGCAGGCGCTGCGCCAGGAGCTGGCCGGGCTGGCCAGGACGGAGAGGACGCTCGACCGGCTCCTCCAGGACTGCACCCTGCAGCTCAAGCAGCTGACGGACGATGAAGCCAACCGGAGATATCCTTGTTGGGAGAGAGCCCCGCACGGGGCGCGGAGCGGGGCCTTGAGTGCTCGCCACCTGCCCCCGAGCCCCTTGCCCTCCCTTTGCTCCCATCCTGGTGGACAAAGGTGCTTCCCGGGATGGGGAGGACATCGGGAGCCGCTGTTGGGCAGCAGCCCTGCGGCACTGRGGGAGTGCAGGGGGCTTCCTTGCAGCCTCGCCTTTTCCTATACCCTCTGCGTGCGCACGCTGGCCTACGTCACCTACCAGGACTTGCGCGCCATGGGCTCATTCAAGGAGCAGACGGTGATGGCGGTGAAGGCACCGCCGGAGACACGCCTGGAGGTGCCCGATTTCCAGGAGGTGCGTGCGGAGCGGGGGGGCTGCCCTTGGCACCATCTGGAGCGTCCCAGGGGGTCGTCACCAGGGAGGCCCCTGCTCGGCGGCGCGGGGGTCTCTGTGCGTCCTGTGGGGCTGCCTGTCCTCCGGGGGGGCTGTGGGAGCCGGGCGTGCTCCAGGTGCGCCCTGAGCCCCTCATTCCCCCACGCACAGGACAAGCTGCAGCTCCACCTGCGGAGCAGCCAGGGCCCCATCGAGGTCTACCTGTGCCCGGAGGAGGCGCCGGAGGAGCCCGGCACCGAGGAGCCCGTCCCTGCCGCGCACCGCGACGGGCTCAGCGCCCCCGTGCTGCCCTGCTCGCCGGAGCCGCCGCGCGTGGAGGCCGGGCTGCTGGGCTCACCCCGGCACCTCCTGCAGCACACGGAGGACCAGCTGCCCTGCACCCCGCCCCGCCTGCACGCGGGGCCCTTCGTGGCCTTCTCGCCCCCGCTGGCCCAYGACGACTACCTGTGGGGGCTCGACGGCGGCGAGGGGGTCGGCGACCTCTTCGAGGCCTACGACTTGGGCGACCTGCTCCAGAACTGACCGGGCGCCTCAGCCTCCTCTCAGCCTCCGCGAGCCTTCGGCTTCTTCCTCACCCTCGGTTACCTCGATGCGCTGAGGAACCCCAAGGGTTAAAGCGGTGGCGGCTCCTGTGCTGGTGGCATCSTGGTGGTGGGTCCCTGTCTGCTGCCCTCGGGGCCTTCCCCTCCTCCAGAGCCGCTCTGTGGCRGAGGCGCTTGGGGTGACAGGTTGGGCTCCTTGTGGGGCTGCAGGAACCCCCAGCTCCTGCCCTGGGAGAAGCTCCAATCCCCTCTGGTYACGGGCTGTAGAAAAAGGAAAGAAGAGAAAAATACTCGGGCGACACCCCTCGCAAGAGGAGGTCCTGTTGGTGCCCCAGGGCACCGAAACCTGCCGTTTCTCAGCGTCCCTCCCCATGCCCCCCACTTGGGTTGGGTCCTTAAGGCTGGGCCTGGAGGGGCATTTGGGGAGGCAAGAGCCATATGTATCACGTATGCGTTGAGCTCGGTGATTCTTCATTCCCAGCTCTTGAAGTTGTGYGGAGCACCTTGCCAGGGTGCTAACTGCTCGCTGCAGTGTTTTTTTAGGAGGATTTGGCCCCACCAATCCTCCACTTCGGTGTCCTAAAGGGGTTTGCACTGGGGACGGTTAAAGTGGCTCCCAGCGCTGACCTGGATGCGGCCGCTCAGGGCTTGTTCTCGGCTGCTGCACTGTGGGTGCTGCGGGGACCGTCCCACCGGGAGCAGCGTCCCCAAGCGCGCGACGTGCCCACAGGGAGCGGAGCTGATCCCCAGCCAYGGCCCTGCCCTCCCCTCCTGTCTTCAAGCCCTTCCCCTCGGGAACTTGCTGGGAAATGGGTCCCGGAAGGTTGCTTTTGGCTCTGGGGGTTCTAAAATGTACAGCACGATTGCACTGTATTTATACGGGACCCACCTTCTGCCGCAGCATTGAAGGTTTGTTTGGGGTGTGGATTTTGAAATGCGTGTATTTAAGTGCTTCTCCTGCAGTTTGGCTTGGACTCTTGTGTGTGAGAATGTGTTTTATTGAAAAAAAAAAAGAAAAAAGAAAAAAAGAGAACAAAACAAAATGAACAAAACAAAGCAACCAACTTGTGGCACTTGCTGTTTTTTGTTCAGAAGGGGTGAGAAGAAATAAAGACTTCAAGTCMAAGAGCTCGTGCTATTTGGGGCACATGCAGAGGGAAGGCAGATGTGGGGCTGGTCTCTCCTTGCTCCATGGGTCTAAAATGGGACCACAGAAGCAGCTCTGGAGCAAGGAGGAGGCCGGGTCGGTGCCGGGCTGGGCTCATGTTCCTACGGTTTGGGACAGGGTTTGGTGACTGGAGAGTGAGGAGCCTCTTTGCTCATTCCCCTGGTGCTGCCCCAGCAGCTCTGCACCGACCCGAGGTCGCGGGGCCCCGAGAGTGGGTGACGTCCTGTGGTAGCAGGTGACACCCTACAGCACCCAGTGACACCCCGTGTACCTGGTGCCGGGGCTACGAGCCTGGCATCACTCATCCGGCCGGGCAGGAAAGGAGGAAGAGAAGGAGGAGGAAAGGCCATGGCCAGGGCAGCCACGTGGGGGGCACGGATTGGTGGCGCCGGGGGACCCCGCAGGTCCCCGAGCGCTTTGGTGAGTGGGACGGAGGCGGCAGCGGCCCAGGCGGCCGGGAGGTGGCAGAGGATCCATAGGAAAGAGAGCCCGGATCCCTAGCAAAGAGAGCCCGGATCCCAGCCCTGCTCCCACGGGAGGAGCCGCCCCACGACCGGGAGCCGAGAAGGGGATGGGGCTTTTTGGGGGTAGGTGGGAGCTGGGAATGCAGCAGGTAGAGGAGCCCCCAGAGCCCAGGCAGGTGGGCCCAGGGCTCCGCGTACTCCAGGGGCTCTGGGTTTGGCCCGAGCCTTGGGATGACTCTGGACTGTTGGCCTCAAAACTGCATTTTCCTGGCCCCTTCTCCAGGCGAGAGGAGGAGAGAAGGGAGGAAAAGGAAGGGGAGGAGAGGGGAAGAGGGAGTCTGGCACCCCAGACAAAAAGGATCCTGAATCCTGAGTCCTTCCCTCCAGGCTGCCTTCACCTTGGGTGCTCACAAGTGATCAGCAAGATAAAATCCTCATTTTCTGACACCGCGAAGGGCCAGTGCTCTGGGAGCCAAACTGGCCAAGGAGCTCTGGAGAGTCTCCACGTGGAGACACCATCCTGGCCTCCTTCCCTGCTTCTCTTTCCTCTCGTTTGTGACCAGCTCCCTCTTCCCCTTTCTCCTTCCTCTAGAAACGTTCCAGTTGTCCCTCCCCGCCATGGCCCTCGGGGGCTTTTCGGGGTGAAGTGGTGGCGCAGCACGAGCAGCTCGGGGCAGCCTCAGCTGCGGGGGCTGCCGGCCTCCGTGTCCCCTCTTGCGCTGGAGCAGCCCACGGGCTGCCCTTTCCACCCACCCCAGGGACACTGCTTGTCCCATCAGTGCTGGACCCGGCGGTTCGGAGACCTGGCACACAGGGGTGACGGGGTGGCGGCTCTGGCGCTGCAGCCCTGGACGCCGCTGACGGCACTGAGGCCGAAGGCTTTCGTCTTCCTCCCTCGGCGCGGCCGGAGGAGCCCGCGCGGCTCCGGGGCGGCCCGGGGCTCTTCGCCTTTAACGGGCGGGCGGCCAAGCGGCGGGGCGGGCGCG